CTGGATGTGTGGGAATGGACATTTCTTGCAGGGAAGATGGGGGCTGCTATGGAAGAAAGGGATTGAGCAGGTGCCATGGTAGATTTGCACTACACAACACCTATGGTGATAGTGCAGTGTAATGGCTCAGAGTGGGAACCCAGGGACCAGACTGCCTAGGTACATCTCCTACTTCTGCCATTTAATACCTCTGTGACTTTGAGAAAGTCACTTAACCTCTTCAGTCTTCAGTTTCCTCTGCTAGAGCAACAGGAAGGATTGTTAACACTATCTTAGAGAGCGGTGGAGACTAAATAGTTCACACACAAAAAGCGTTTAAAACAGAACAGAGTAAGACCTCATCCTTGTAGCTTATGTCCTTGGCATCCTACAGCTTGTGTGGTATGCAACTTATACCCTGCAATCCTGCTCAATGAATGAGAAACACTTTCTGTCACATTTTGTGTAGGAAGAAACCCAAATCTTAAAGTGGCTGAGAAACTTGCTCAAGGTAACAAGATCAGAGATAGAGGGTCCAGGATTGTAACTCAATTCTGCTTGACCTCAGGATCGCTCCTAAGCACCGTGCAGTTCTGGATAATGTCCAAGGTCCCCTCTCATCGTAGATGAGGAGCTGCATGGAGACAGTGCAAACCACCCACCACCAACATTTGATCCTAGTGGTGCTAGTCTCACCTTGCTCCCATGAACTCCAGGCTTCCAGGACCTGCAGCATCCTGCTACAGTCACTGCAGTGTCAGAGTCTCAGCAATATCCCGGGCAAAGCTTATGGATGCTTACCTGATGCTTAAGATTAGGAAGCATGTTAGAACCCGTAGCTGTAGTGTGGGGAGCACTGGGGTGGATGCGTGTCCATTTCATAGATGAAGACACTTGTCTCCATGTCTCTAGGGACTGGGGCAGCACTGAGGCCCCCTTTGGTGCCCACCTTTCAGGGTTTGAGTTTTGGGGACAGAGGCTGAATTTACAAGCACAAGACACAGTGACTGTAGGCAAGAGAGAGGGAAACCTTCCCATTTGAGAAGATGTTTGGGGCTTCAGACCCTCATGCTTGTGCCATTATGATGTTGGTTCTACAACAAGTAAAATTTGGAAGAGACAGAAAAACGTGATGCCCTTGAATGCAAACCAGATCTGTTGCGCTGCTGAGGGTCTGCCATGGGGCCGGCCCTGCAGCTGGGTAGGGAGAGAGGTGAAAATCTCAGGTCTTGTCTCACCCACCCTTCCGTGAGTGAACCCAAGAGATCTCCTTCATAGGGATGTGATTGGGTCTCGAAGCCAAAAAGTCAGCTGTCACCTAGGGTTCTTGATGCGAGGCTGACTGCCAAGGGATGGAGACTGACCCGTCCCAATGAGGCACTGGTCACTCGGTGCCTCTCTAACGGCTCCCGGGAAAGGCATTTCCAGGGCAGTGGTGAGCCGGTTTTTCCTTCACAGAAGGATCTGAGCTGGCCCTCCTGTGATGCGCTGCCCAACTTCATAAAAACATCCGTCAAAACGCCTCAATATGGAAATAATGTGCGTGAGTTATTCTTACGCCAGGTCATCCATAATGGGAAATCACTGCGATGGCCCTGTATTTCTTCTCACTCTCTAAAGTGTCATAAATTGAAACTTTTAAAGCTCGGCATGAAGATGACTTGTCAGCCCCGAGCCTGCGGGGTGGAGGCCTTGGGCTGGGATTCCATTAAACCCGGACCTCTCTGACTTGTATGCCTCTGCGCCGAGGGACCTCTCTCCCTTCCCATCGCTGTCAGCCGGAACTTCAGAGTTCGTGAAGAGCAGGGTTCATGCTCTTCCTGGCCCTGTGTCTTCTTTTGACCTCTGCTTCATTTTCTTCATTTTTAAAAATCCCAACTTCCCAGGCTCTTCTGGGCATGAAAGGGACTCACAAAACAATGACAGTAACAATTGTCAGTATTTGGTAGCGTTTCTCAATGCTGGGCACTGTGCGTAGCACTTTGTGTGTTTTCACAGATTTGTCTTGCACAGATTTTTTGATGTAACAATCCCCATTTTCCAGATGAGGAAACTGAGGCCCAGCAAGCTTAAGTGACTTGTGGATAAAGGCACATGCGTCTGGTCTGGCTCCAGTGCTGTGATATCTGGCATCTGGAAGCACCAGTGCCCGCTGCCTTGCTTCCCCACCCTGTGGAGCCGGCTTTTTCACCGCTGGGAGGTTCCAGGAAGGGTGCAGGATCCCAGAGCGGGGTTGCTGGGGTCACCACATCTGTCTCTTCAAAAGCTGAGTTCTCTCAGCCTGCAGACTCTATCCGTGTCCAGGCCCCCAGGACGGTTGCCAAGTGGTCTCCACTGCAGCAGTAGCATCCAACTGGGCTGCTTCTGTCCCCCTGCGTTTCTACCATTCTACTCACACAGTCCGATTTTTCCAGTCAGGGGCTTTCCTCAGGGCAGAGGAGCTCAGTGTTAGGGGCTTGGGCTAGGCTTAGACTAAGTAGGCTGGCTGGCTATGTGACCGTGGCACGTCTCTGCCTGCCTTGAGCCTCTGTTTGCTCATTTATCCCGGGATCCTCATGGTGGCACCTCTGTCTTAGAGACCTGGTGCAGCTTTTATGAAGCAAGCAGAGAATGCCCAGTGCCCGGGGAGTGGTCCCCAAGACACAGGAATGGACAGAGCTGTAACTGCCAGAACCACCCAGGCCACGCTAACCCTAGCTTCAGCCTGGTAGGAGCCGAGAGGAAAGCGAGCCGCTGTTCACAGGGACGGTGGTGCTCCTGCTCATCTCTGCCTGGGGCGGAGGAGCCCTGCTGCATTATGCTGCATAGACCATCTGTAAACTGGGGCTAGAGAGAGAGCCACCATGCCCTATGGCTGGAGGACCGGTGGGGTGATGGTGGTGTTGCCCGCAGGGCCGGAGGAGCCCGGCGGGTGGGGGCTGACTTCCTGCGCCCTCTCTGTCTTTGTGCTTGCTCATTCAGCTTCTGTCTCTGCCTTGGGCTCCTTGGCCCCGGCAGCAGGTCCCTGCATGATGTTGCCCCTTCTCCTCCTCCTCCTCACTCAGCCCCTCCCCTCTTATATGTGACATCAGCTCCCATAATGGCCCATCTGCCTCTTCCTGCTTCACCTTTGTTCTGTGCATGCCACCCACAGTGTGGAAATTTCCATTTCTTCCTGCTTCTCTTTGTAGCGCCTGCATTGTCTCCTCCTGGAGGACCACAGCCTGGCCACCCTGCTTTCCATTTGCCCTAGTAAAGCCAAGGAAGGTTGTGCCACTTACCTCCTTAGAAACCATCTGTGGCTTCCCTACAGACTAAAATGATAAATAACCTAATAGTAAATGGCTTAAGCTTTGTGGTCCAGCCCACAAGCCTCAACGATATGACCTCTGCCCTCTCTCCTTTCCCTCTCTGCAGAGTGGCTCAGCCACACTGGCAGTCCTTCTGCTTTCAAGTACTTCACTTGTTTCTTTCCCTGCCTCAGGACCTTTGCCCTTGTTACTGCCTCCGCCCAGGGTACTGTTCCTCCTCAATCTCACAAAGCTGTCTCTTTTGTATCTTTTACATCTTAGCTAAAATGTTTCCCCTTTTTGAGGACCCTGACTCCATCAGCCAGATCCTCCTGATGTCTCATTTCCACCACTGATTATGCTTTGACCACGCTGGTCACCTCCCTATGCTCTGCATCATTTTCCTCACTGTGTCTCTGTCCCTCACTGTGTCTCTGTCCCTCCCAGTTGCCACGGGAAAGGAGCCACCAAGCCTTCCTCTGTGGCGCTGTGCTGCACCCACCTGTAGGAGCGCACTGTTCTTGGGGGCTCAGAAACTTGGCTGTATGTTCAGCCCCTGGCAGTAGGACAGGCTGGGCAAGAGCACCCATGTATGAATGCTCCTGGAGTCACAGGTCCTCAGACATGAGCAGTCCCAGTGCCACCCACAGGCCAGGACCCTCCCTGCTCCCTGCCTCACTTTCCTTATCCTTAAAATGGGGGTGTTTGCAGTGTGCACTGGGAGGACTAAGCAGTAGGAACAGAAGAGAAAACCCAAGAGAAGGCTTTTTCTTTGTCTATCAGCCGCAGCCTTAATATGAACTCTTTTGAAGACTGGCCTGGTGTTTTAGAAGGTGTGCTCTTCGGGGAAGCACACTTCTGCTTTGCAGCTGTGTGGCTTCAGGCAAGGTGCTGCCCCTCTCTGAGTCCCAGGTGTTTCCTTAGGTGATTTCTAAGGGTGTTTTCTGTTTGGAGGTTCCGGACTTCAGGAATCAAGGGGAAGCTGCTAGTTGCAGACTGGGCGTGGGTTTGTGCACGGGTGCGGGCTCTCCGGGCGGGTGGGGCTGTCTTCTGGGTCTGCACGTGCAGGGAACTGTGCCTATCTTGGCCCCACTTTCCAGAACAGAGGCTGACTGTGTGCAGGTGAGCACAAGAAGTAAAAGAAAATTTAAGAGAAAGATTGAAGCTGGTGGCTTTAAGCCTTTGAGAATCTCGTAAAAGCTGTGAGCCTAGGAAAATGCTCGTGAGCAGAATATCTTGCAGTTTAGAGGTTTATAGACTGGCTTTTAACCCTGAATGCTGCTTAAGAAACTTTACTTGGCAGGTTCCCCTGGCCTTCGATGTGCCTCCTCCAGGAAGCCTCCTGCAGTTCTCTTCCCGTTCTCACCAGCCTGCATCCCTTCCTTCCTGCGCTCCTCGGAGGCGGTCATGACCTATCCCTGCCCGTCCCCGTCAGGAGGGCAGGGCTGAGTTGACTACTCCCTGAGGGTCATGTGCCTGGCAGTGAGGGGTGTCACAGGACTGTGGAACACCCCAGTGCTGCCTTGATGGCGTAGCTGTATGTCTGTGCCTGTGACATTTGAGTGGGTGCAGAGCCTGGCTGCCTGAGATATAAATACATTAGCTCCCCCTGGTTGTGGTATGTGTTGATGACTAGGTTATATTACCCTACTGCCCACAAGGGGTGGGCTGGGCTGGGCTGGGGGGCAGACATTCAAGGTGGCAGCCTCAAGAGGACTCAGCTTTTTCCTTGTCCCCCATGGCCTGGTCCAGCTGGAGCAGAGTGAGGCCAAGTGTGAGGATGCCCTGAAGACCCAGAAAGCCCTGACCCTGGACCTGGAGAACATGCACAGTGAGCTGGAGAACATGACCCGGAGCAAGACCCTGGTACTGTCCCTTCCTGCAGCCCTGGAAGTCTGGATGTTGCAGGCCTCTGGGCGCTAGTGTGGGCCTACTGGGTGCACAGCACTATAAGGGGGACAGGGGCAGTTATTTTGAACCTGTTGTATTTGGCTATGGAGTACAGACCTCCATTGTGGGCATAGTTGGTATTTGGAGACATAGACCTCCACTGTGGACCTACTGGGTGCCACCTTGAAGTATAGACCTCCAGTCATATCTTAGCTTTATTTGAGGGACAGTGGCACTTACTGTGGATCTGTTGGGCACTCAGCACTCTGACTGTGCAGAGATCCTACTGTGAGCTGAGCATCATAGAGGCCAAGAACATATATATGAGGGTCAACTGTACAGTCCCACCTGCAAAGGTAAGCAAGGGAGCCTGTTGTGGACCTACTGTGTGCTCAGTACTGTGAAGATGCACCCAATATGAGCCTCAGCACCCTCCATGGGAACACGACTGTTCATTGTGTACCCACACTGTGCTCATCACTGTAAGTGGTTCCCAGGCAGCTATTATAGTCCTACTGTGTGCTCACCTTCATGAAGGGACTTGGTTCTTAGTATTGGACTATGTATGTTTACTCCTATAAGAAGATAAAAGTATCTCTCATGGGCCTACTTAGACTCACTGCAATAAAAAGACCCAGCCATTTATTATAGGCCCACTTTGTACTCTCCACTGAATGGGACAAATGAACACATGTTATAGGTCTATGGCATTGGAAAATATTGGGCATGGGTTTCAGTGCCCCTGTCTGGGTGTACAGGGTTGGTTTAAATTTATACTCAGTGTGTAACATCCTAAAGGTTTAGGTAGAGCTAGAGATTTATAAGCAAAAGCTTATCTCGTGATTCTTCCTGGCCCTTTCATCCTAAATTTTCTTTGCACTAAATTCAGAGGGACTTGCCCACATTCACATGTGCGTGCACACACACACACTCACACTTATTGTACCCCACACTTATACACAAAGCCACCAGACCCACATACAAAATAAGTACCCTGAGAGGTAAAATATGCAAGCAGATTTGCCCACCCACCTGTCAGACATTTATGAGGAACCTGCTGTAGCCTGGTGCTTAGTGCTGAAGATACACCTGTGAGCAAAACCAAGTCCCCATACTCAGGGAGATTGCAGGTTTGCATTTTCATAGCTGTACCATGTGTTTTTAAAATGTGCTGTGTAGATTCCTACAGGGGGCTTACATGGATGACAAATCCACCCCTCCCATCCACAGTGATATGCATGCCCAGTACACACACACCAGCAGCAGCAGCAGCGCATGCGTTGTCACCCACTGTACCCTTACCTGTAGATGGTCACTCACGTCACCCACCCACAGCCAAGGGCCCCCAGTCCCCATCAGGCCCCTTCCTCTCGCTGCCACTCTTTGACCTCACCCCAGCTGCCGGCCTACTTCCCACCAGGTGGATGAGCAGCTGTACCGGTTGCAGTTTGAGCGAGCAGACCTCCTGAAGCGCATCGATGAGGATCAGGATGACCTGAATGACCTCATGCAGAAGCACAAGGACCTCATTGCCCAGGTGAAGAGTGGGCTTCTGTCTGGCGGAGTGACAGAGGGATGTGGAAGAGGTTAAAGTACTTGGACTACTCCCTGGTCTTAGGATCTTGGAGGAATGCGTACCAGATAGACAGATAGGAATTAGAAATTTCATTTAGCCCTAAGGGAGGGAGAATATCACCTTCAGATAGTGGAGGCCTCTCTGGAGGACCTCTCCACCCAGAAAAAATTTTGATCTATTCATACTTCTATTTGCCCATCCAATATCCATCTGCTCATCACCCCATCTATTGACCTACCAAACCATTAATTTACCCATCTATCTACCCACCTGTCCATCCATTTATCTGTCCACTGCAATTCCTATCATTCTGTCCATCCATCCATCCATCCATCCATCCATCCATCCATCCGTCCATCCATCCTTCCATCCATCCTTCCATCCATCCTTTCATTCACCCACCCTTCCACTCATTTATTTATTCATTCACTATCTATTTATTCATCTATCCATCTATTTATTCTTCTGCCTATCCCCTACTTACTGCAGACATCCTATGTGTAAGGCAGCACGCATGTGTGAGGAAGGCCAAAAATGCTGTGGCGATTGGTTTCCCATCCATCCCCTTCCCATTCCTGCTCTCCTGTAGTTCAGGGTTCATGAGTTGGGCAGATCTTATCACATCATCAACTGGAGGAGAGGAGGGACTTGAAAACTAAACCCTGAAAGGAAGTAAACATGGTTCTGTGAATCTGGCCCTCTACTGGGAGTCAGAGAAGGCTTTTCTGAGAAAGTGGCACTGGATGAGAATCAGAATGAGGAGCAGGAGTTCGTTAGATCAGAGTGGGAAAGTAGGGGTTAGGAGAGTGTTCCAGACTGAAGGAACAGTGTATGCACAGGCCCTGTGGTGCTGCATTTTGAGAGGCTGAAAGGGGGCCAGTGAGGAGAATGTGGTATCAGATGAGTTTATTAGCAAGGCCGGGGAGGAGGGCCATGCCAGGGTCTTAGAGACTGCAATGAGTGTGTGTTTTATTCTGTGGATGATGGGAATTATTGGCAAGATTTTTAAGGACAAGAATAATTGGAGAGGATGGACTGGCCTGTCAGCTGCACAGGGGTAGGACTGTCCTCTGCCATGCCCAGTCCTCTGCCACATCCAGTCCAGGATTGCTTCATGGCAGTGCTGCACCTAGAGCTGAGAAGAGTGTCCAGCATGGAGTCAGTGCTCAGTGAATACCTGTAGAATGACTGACAGCTCCAGCTGTGCAGGGGAAAAACCCCCTGGCTTGCACTAGGCAGGCAGAGTGGAGCTGAGCAGGTGGACAGATTTGGGGACAGTTAGGAGGCAGGATACCAGCAGAAGTACAGAAGGAGCTTTGGATAGAGCTGGGAGATGTGAGGAGAAACTCCAGATCATTTCCAGTCTACACCACAGTGGAGAAGAGCTTCACCCAGAAGCAGTGAGTGCCTCCTACATTGCCCCCAGAGAAGAGCTGGGGTGAATGCCCCCCAGACTCCCACACAGCCAATGGAGATTGCAGCTGAGGGTGCTTCTGCTAAACAAGGCATCCTCCTAACAAAAATGATCAGTGATGTCACCAGCGCTGTAACAACCAGCACAAAACAGTCCATGTCACCTTTTGTATTGGTCAATCACTTATTTTTGTCCAAAATAGAAGTTTATTTGTTGAGTTGTAAAACTAATATGTACATATGAACATTATAAAAATTTAATAAACACACGTGGGAAGTAGGAAGTGGAGAGGCGTCTTGTTCTTGGGAATTCCTGTCTTCACAGATAATCAAGCTCAGTCATTGGCTTTACCTTTTTATAGAATCTTTACTGTCCACCACCTCCTGGAATCTCTGAACGAACCCTATGGATAGTGGCCAAGCAGACATTCTCAGACCATTTTATAGATGGGAAGACTGGGTTGCAGAGAGGTTTCTTGGCTTGCCACGGCCAGTGTCCAAGTCTAGGACCGCAACACTTGACAGCAGAGCAGTTCTCCCTTGGAATTTGGTCTTTGCACTACAGCCAGCCCATCTCAGCCTGGGCTCTCCAGAGTGTATCTTAAAGTGCTGGGCAGAGGCCAAGGCCATAGGCTGATGTGATTGGAGTGACTCAGCCAACACTGAGAGGAGGTTGGGCGGGTGTGAGAGGTACTCTTTGAGAAATAGCCATTGCCATAGGAGCTCTGAAAGACGTAGGCATCCATGGGTGAGGGAGAAGGGACTCTTGCTTCCCAGCAAAGTCTATGGTTTTCTAGTGACTTTTTTTGTTTCACCAGTCTGCAGCTGACATTGGGCAGATCCAAGAGCTGCAGGTGCAGCTGGAGGATGCAAAGAAGGAGAAGCACAAGCTCCAAGAGCAGGTACATGCTCAGAGCCTCTGTACTGTGGAGGGAGGAAGGGAAGGGCTCCCTGGGACCCTTGGACACTCACTCACTCACTCACTCAGTATTGTGTGTGCCAAGGTGAACACACACACGCAGAGTTCCTCTTGCCTGTGTCCGCCCTGAATGCAAATGACACTCAGCACTAACCAGTGCGGCTTCTCTCCCTCTGAGAAGGCTCTGCTCGGTGCAGACAGGATCTTGGCCCTTTTGAGTGTCCTTTGAAGGCATGGTATCTCTAAATCTCCCTGGCTTTCTGTCCTTACTGGTGGACTGCAACTATCCACAGAATTCTCAAAACCCTCGTAGAACTGTCATATGTGCCTGCTTGGAGTGACTGTCAGACAATGTCCATGGATACTGAGTAGCAACAAGCACGATAAAAATAATAGCAGCGCTGCCCATTGGTGGGTGTTTATGATGCTCCAGGAGCTCATCTCCTTCAGTCTGCACAGTGGAAAGGAGGTGCTGAAGCTCAAGGAAGGAAGCCAGCATACCCAAGCTGGTCCAACTGCCAAGTGGTGGGCAGGTTGTGTGCCTGGCTCCCGGGTACACTTGGCCTGTGGCTTTTGCTGCTGGAACTTGTTGCTCACCATTTAGCTTTGCTCCATTATCATGGCAGGGACAGAGATAAAAGAAATGCCACATAAAAGTCCTTTTGTATTCATAAGGGACAGGAAGCATCACCTCCAAGCACCTGCCACCAGGAGCAGGGTCCAGTGCGAGCGGGGTCCAGTGGGATCCTCGGCTGGGGACCTGGCAGTTCTCAGTGGGGCAGACATTCAGCGTGTAGCACTTGAACGGGGAAGCAGGTAGTATGAATGGGCCCTGGGCTGGGACTTGTGTGTGTCTCTGTCCTGGGACTCCTCTCTGTGTGCTTTCAGCTGCAGGTGGCTCAGATGCGCATCGAGTACCTGGAGCAGTCCACCGTGGACCGAGCCATCGTCAGCAGGCAGGAGGCAGCCATCTGTGACCTGGAGAACAAGACAGAGTTCCAGAAAGTGCAGATTAAGAGATTGGAGGTACTTAGTGGCATGGAAGCCTGCCTTGGGCCTGGAGCAGGGGGGCTTGCTGTTGGCTCCTTCCAACAGCAAGATGGACAGACCTTGCCCATCCATCTCCCTTTTTTCCTCTCCTCCCTTCTCCTTTCCTTTCTTCCTTTCTTCTATTGCACATTCCACAAACAAGCCTGTCCATTCATCCATCCATCTCTGTCCTCTCCATCCACCATCATTACTCCATCAGTCTCCCTCTCCTTCCACTTTTCTTCCTCCATACTCCCTCCACTCTTCCTTCTCTTTTATTCAGCCTCAGACCCCTCTGCTTGCCCACCCTTTATTTATGGGATCCAGTTCTTCCCACCTCTATCTCTGTCCCACCCACGCATCCATTTAGGTGCCCAGCACTCATTTTGAACAAAAATTTGTTTTGAACCTGTGTGTGCTAAGCTCTGTGCTGGGTGCCTGGAAGATAAAGTATAAAGGATAGACCTCTGTAGAAGATGTGCACAAACACCCACAATACGAAGAGGAGGCTGTGGGGTTCAGAGGACAGAGGTCCTTTTCAGGCTGAGGAGGTAGAAAGGCTTCCAGGAGAAGGGGCCATTAATTCTGGGCCTTGAAGGACAGATAAGCCCTTGATGAACTGAGTCGGGCTTCAGTGATTACATTCATTCATGTTTGACCTTGCACTTGGATCTCAGATGTTTATTCACCCCTTCAGCTTTTCTGGCCAAGGACATGGGACGTTTACAGAATACACTGCTGTTGCCAAGATATCAAAAGCCTCTCCTGTCAGGCAGTTCACTTGATGTTTGATAAAGCCCTGGAGGGAAGGCAGGACAGGCCTCATCTAATGAGGGACAAAAACGACCTCAAATGGGTCAAATGACTTGCTTAAAATAAAGGCTGTTGTGTCAGGGCTGGGACTAGATTCATGGGTGCCCTTCACTCCATCCTGGTCTCTGCAGCCAGCTTCCCCTGCCATAGGACAGTGCGAGGCCACACCCCACCCCAGGCAGTGGTCTCTATAAACCCACTGTGGATGAAGAATATACAGAAATTCCTGGCCTCGACCTCCAGTGGTCCTTGGGATGGCTCCGGGGATCCTTCAAGGCAAGACTGTCTGCAGATCACCTGGAGATGTCAATCTACTGTGTTTTAAGTGATTACCTGCACCATGTTGGGCTGTATCGTTTTTGATTCATGCATAGTTAAGTGATCGCAGAGAAGAAGGGAAAATTAAGATAATATGAAATCGAGAGATTGTATCTACAGGTTTACTCTCCTCTCTGCCGCTATTATTTGAATGTAGTAGAGCCCCAGGTCTCTATGGTAGAGAGATGGGGCACCCGGAGGATGCAGTTTGAGAATCACTGTTCCTCCTCCTGCCCCTTTGCTGTTCTTGAAATTGATGCTAAATTCCCTTTGAAAGGGGAAGAGCCCTGAAGAGTAAACCTGCCTTTAGGCTGCAAGTCAGTGTCTGCTCCACAGTCTGCTTCTCCCCTATCCATGGCTCCTGAAAGGAGCTCAGAGTTAGCCTGGGCTTGAAATATTCATGTGGCTTCTCTTGTGTCAACACTGGATTGTTTGCCCAGCAGGATCAATTGGTTCCAGGCTTGTTGGTGGCCTAATGAATTCTGCAGAACAGCGCTTGGATTTACTTTCTGTAGCATTCATGCTGCCCCATGCACCTTTCTGTCTGTTGTTTCATTGTTTCCTCATGGATTTTTGTCCCCCTAAAAGGAAAAATACCATAGAGTATTAGGGCTGAGGCTCAGGATGGATGATCTGATCAAAGGCACTCACTTGATAAATCTAGAAACCAGAATCACATTGGGAAGTGATTCTAACTTCCAGCATAGTTCTCTGTCCTGCGCACCAGTGTATCTGCCAGACCTTAGGATGGATGGGGTTGCTGCAAATATTGACAATCCCCAGCCTTTATCCTCCATGTCCTCTGTATAGTCAGTGTGCTGTGCCTTTTAAACTTAGCAGATTGGATTGGCCTGGGAAGCATCCCTGCTACACACAGATCCAACCATCATCTTCATCTCAGAGAAGTTTAGTGACTGCACAAGGTCACACAGTCAGGAAGAGGTAGAGGTGGGATTTGAACCCAGAGCATCTTGAGAGTTAGTGTTCCCTCTGTATTCATTGCCTCTTAGAGTAGCAGTCAGCATTTTCTCCATTTTCAAAGTCAATTCACTTGCATAACAGGAGTTGGGAGTCTTAGCCCGTTTCTGTATGCCAACATGCAGAGACTCAGCCGAGCATTCTCAGGGATGTGCTCTGCCCCTCACAGGTCCTGGTGATCCGGCTTCGGGACAGCCTGATTAAGATGGGTGAGGAGTTGTCACGGGCAGTGGCCTCTGAGTCCCAGCAGCGTGAGAGCAGCCAGTATTACCAGCGGCGCCTGGAAGAACTGAAGGCAGACATGGAGGAGCTGGCACAACGGGAGACAGAGGCCAGCCGGAGGTGCATGGAGCTGGTGAGTCCTGTCCCCAAGCTGGCTTTCATGATTGCAGGTCTGGGCCATAATGGAGCCCTCTCACAGCCAAGGGGAGGGCTTCAGAGGGGAGACTCAAGGTTTTGCCTCTTGGGCCTTTGGGATGGGCAGGATGCAGGGAGAAACCTGGAGGAAAGGGCTGCACACCTGGGCATCGGGTCCGAAGTGGACCAATAGCATTCACTGCTGCTGCCTGGGCACCAAGCATGTGGACATCTCAGACATTAGATTTCATTTTCCACCTCTTCAGTTACACTCCAAGGGCAGGGTACCCTCATGTAAAAAGGAGGGGACCAATGTATGTTGGATGTCTCCCTTTCACAGGCTTCGCATTGTCATGTCCTATAATTTTTACTCCCGGCTTACAGATGAGGAAACTGAGCCCCTAAAGAAGTGAGATACTTAGTCTAAGGTTGTATGTAGTAAATGTGGAACTATTTCTGGGCTATTAATGGTCACAATAACATAAAAGAGAAAAATGATAAGGGTGAGGGTAAAAGCACTGTTTATTACAGATGCGCTGTGTGTCAAGTTCTGGGTGAAACATTTTTCGTTTAAGTCCTCCAATCAGAACAGTGAGGTCACTACTCTTATGATGTCCGTTGTAAGGATGGGGAAACTGAGGTAGGGGAAGATTGACTTGCCTAGGTGAGCTTCAGAGTGGTGCATTCACTTTCCCAGGGAAACGCAGGAGTACATATTCAAGCCCAGATTTGCCCAACTCTGTAGTCTACGATTTTAGCCACTAAATGGCGCTTTGCCTCTAGTGTGGTCTGAGGAACATTTTAAACTTGTTTCCTGCCTAATAAGAGTTCTCCATCATGTGGTGCATCCTAAGAATAGTTTGCAGAGGTCGAGGACATCCCAAGGGTCCAGATTTCTGAATCTGTGATCTGTGAGGCCTCTGACAGCTCCTTTGCCCTGAGACAACCTATAGCATGTCAAGGTTGGCCCAAAGGCCTCTAGAAAAGTACAGTCATTGCCTTTGAAGTACAGGTTGCATCAGCTTGTTCTCCTTCAACAAACAGATTCTGGGGACCACTGTATTCCACAGCCAGAGTCACCCCATCTACTTTGCCCTTGACAAGCCGGGTGCTTGGCTGTTCTGCAGGGGGGCTGGAGAGGTACCACTCAGAGGCCGAGATTCCCAGACGAAATCCAGGTCCCCTGGCTGTCAGCTCCTCTGCCCTGGCCCTGGAAGAGACAAAAGTTCTGTCCTGCAGTTGACAGGATGACTTCCTCACTGACAGCTTGCTTCTCATGCTGCCTAGTCCCTGCCTTTTCCCCCTGACATCTTCTTCAGCTGGCCAGAGAGGAAGACACTTGACTACATCAAGTAGTGCTTTTCTTCCTCTCTCCCTCGCTCCCCTACCCCAACTTCCTCTTGCCTCTTTCCCCTTACTCCATTTCTGAGGTCGTATTCAGATCTTTAAAGGCCCTAAAGTGCTAAAAAGATTATTCTGTCACATCTTGAAGACGGTCCAGATTTGGATTCATGCCACTGCAATAAAGTGACTGTTACAGTGAAGAGAGTCACATGGATTTTTTTGGTGTCCCAGCACATTTAAGAGTTATATTTACACTATATTGTAGTATATTAAATGTGCAACAACATTGTATCTTTGACAAATGAAGTATGTGACTTAATTTAAAAATACTTAATTGCTAAAGAATGATAAATGTCCTCTGAGTTGTTGGAAGCGTGGACTGATAGGCTTGCCCCACACACGGTCGGCACAAGCCTTCTGTTTGTAGTTAGTGCAATATCTGTGAATAGTAATGAAGAAAAATGCAGTGAAATGAGGGGGGCCTATCTACTGCTCCCACATGTGACTCGCAGTAGAAATAACATGAAACTGTACCTAACACACAAAGCTTAAATGTATGCTGCAGTTAGGGTGTCTTTTCTTTCTCATTGTAAGAATCTGGAGAAGATCTTCAAGGCTGAACTTGTCTCTTTATTTTGTCTATAGTTGGGAGGTAGATTGGTCTCCCACGGGTGCCATAATGAATGGCCACAGACCAGGTGGCATAGATGTGTTCTCGCACAGCCATGGAGGGCAGGAGTCTGAAGTCAAGGTGTTGGCAGAGCAGCCTCCCTCCAAGGCCCTTACCTATTCCTTGCCTTCTCTGGCTTTTGAGGGCTGCAGGCATTCTGGCTTATGGCAGCATGGCTCCAGTCTCTGCCTCTGTCTTCCCATGGCCTTCTCCTCTGACTATGTGTGTCTCCAATACCCCTCTGTCTTTTGCTTGTAAGGGAAACTGCCATTGGATTTAGGACCCACCCCTAACTGAGGTGGAACTTATCTTGAGGTCTTTATTTTGATTGTATCTACAAAGAGCTCCTTTCAAAAAGGAGTTATATTCACAGGTCCCAGTGGACATAGTTCATGGGAAGCCAACCTGGAATTCATTCCTGGAGTGTAGGGTATGTTCCCACCTGGCTGTTATTGTGAAGGCATCCAGCACGTCTGGGAGTCCCTTGATGCTTCTGGGGAAGAACAAGGCTCAAAGGGACAATGCCAGACCATCAGCCTCTTCCTAACACTGGATGTCCCACACTTAACAACCTATTTGCCCTCAGCGATGTCCTGTGTCTTTGGGCAGAGAGGGCAAGGTGGCATGAGAGGAAGGGACTAGGGACCAGGTATGGTCTCCCATGACCCATCCTCTTCAACTAGGCTTCACCTTCTGTTTCTATCACTTTCCAATAATGCCATCAATGGATGAAGCCACTGATGAGGTCAGAACCCTTGTGATCCAGTCACTCCCCTATGGCCCAGGAGCAGCATTCCACACAGTGAGCCTCTCTGGGAGACATTTGGGATCCCACCCATAACACATGGATGCATATCTGTAGTTTTTAGATGCAAGAAGGATGTTGATGGATCTCCCGTCTTCATTCCTTTCTGCCTGTCCCCAGCCTGCACCATTTGTCACTGCTGCTGTTGGTTTAAAGGGCTGTGAGTTGTTGCGTGTGGATGATTTATACCCCACCTGGCTCACCAGCATGTCCAGATCAGGATCAATTACCCTACCAATGAAACTTTACTTCCTGGAAAAGAGAAAAATGAAGTTTTGCCATTAATTTTAGTAAATGTACTATTCCTGGTGACTCCAGGAGCCATTATGGAGAAAAGAATATTCTGGCTCTAAATCATTCAAGTCCGTTTGTCACTGGAGTGATGAGGCAGCTCGTCCATGAGCACATATCTTCCTGTTTTTCAGTAGTTATGGGGCCCAGAGGAAACCACCTTGTGTCTAGGCCAGGCACCCAAGGGGTCACCTAAGGGACTTGAGAATATTCTCGGTAAAAGGAAGATCTGCCTTCTGCCTGCTTTTAGCCAGATGTGCCTGCTTCTCCATCCCCACGGCTGGGGCTTCTGACTTACGGCCTCTGTAGATTTTCCTTTGGGTGTCTGCCTCCTCTCACCTGCCAGTGCCTGAAAGCATCTGGATATTCTGCTGCTGCCTGAAAGCAACGTAGAGCACCCAGGGTTGCATTATTCCTTGACTCGCCACTTTTGTTCTCCTGGATCTGCCTCCTGCCTACTCTGCCTTCAAAATTCAGATCAGGTGTCAGATTAAGCATCTGCTCTGTGTTCCCACAAGCCCCTACCCAACCCCATCAATGCGTGCATCACCATCATCCGGGTATTAGAATTCACCTGTGTTCCCATCTTCCTAGACAGAAAGCCCTGAGAAGGAGAGTGAGTTTAATTTGCCTCTAGGTCTCTAGCTTCCAGTTCAAGGTCCGGCATAGGGTAGATGCTCAGAAATCATAGTTTCCTCAATTTTCAAGTTTTGAAATTTTATCTCTGAAAAGAATAACTCAAAAAGTATATCTTAAAAGTGAGAACTTTCAACTTCACAAGTGTTTGCATCCTGTATATGCCCAACCCCGTTCCTGATGTTATGGCAGATACAGACATGGGAGGACCAGGGATTGTGCTCTTGAACTGATGAAGATCTAAAGGAACAGATGCGCCTTCCCCTAAATACCTCTGATATAAGAAGGGATTTGTGGGCAAAAAGGAAGTAGTGATGAGCAACCAAGAGATCTGGGGTAGCTTGTGCAGAGGATGTAGTATTTATTTTCTTTTAAAAATACACTGTGTTAAATTAATTTTGATGATCATCAAATCAAACAGATTTGCCAGAACTCCTCTGCTTATAGACACAGCCTATGAGTTCAAACAGCAAGTTTATTTTTATTACAGCTGTGTATGCAATACATTTGTTAAACTTTTAAGCCTTTAGTAATAAACATATTTTGATCATCATATGAGGGGAGTTTCCTTTCTGTTCTCTTAAAAGAAAATAATACTCTCATATTGGGAGGCAATCAAAGATCACACAGCCGAATAATGTAAAGAGGGAAGTATTAGAGAGGTGTGGTGGGCATCTTAAATAATGAGGTAGCTTTGAGGGATCAGTTGTCCAGTTGCATTCATCATTGTCTCCTACTGTGGCTTCAGTGTGTCTCTCAAGTTTGTGTATTGGAAGCTTCATCTCCAATGCAACAGTGTAGGGAGCTGGGGACCAGTAAGGGCTGGTCAGGGCAAAAATGGATTCATGGACTTTTCGTGGAAGTAGGTTAGTTACTACAAAAGTAGTTTATTATAAAAGTGAATTTGGCCCCTTTTGCTTTCTGCTCTGTTGCCCTTTGCCTTCTTGCCTTCTGTCATGGGACAATGCTGCACAAAAGCCCTTTCCAGACATTGGCCCCATGCTTTTGGACTTCTCAGCCTACGAGAGCCAAATACATTTCTGTTCATTATAATCTACCCAGTTCCTGGTATTCTGTTATAGACAGAAAACTAAAACACTTCTCACACTTGCATTCAGCAAGTGTCTAGTGAGTTCCTGCTCTGTGCTGGACATGGCAGAACCAGGTAACCACCAGATCTCCAAAAACTTAGAGCTGATCTGGATGTGGGGATACAAACACAGCTGCTTCACTCTGTCCTTTTTTCCTTCTC